GAGAGAGAGAGAGAGAGAGAGAGAGAGAGAGAGAGAGAGAGTGGGTTGTGTCAACCTCCTGCTGGTGCCGCATGGTTTATTGTAACTACTTTGTGAGTGTTTACGCTAGGACTTTTTGGACTGACTCTAGCTGCACCTGCAGACAGAGGCATCTAGGGATGGCACTGCTGAGGAAGGTAACGAGCCGGTTTGCAGTGCAGTCACTCGCTTGGTCCCCCTATTGTGCATGTTTAAGCACCCTTTTCTTTTCTTTTTTTTTGTTAACAATTTGTCTTTTTTTCTGTTTTTTTACCAAGCTTGGCAATTCCTCGATTTATGTGTGTCAGCATTTCCTAATTTGTTTATGTCATCCTTGTGCAGGGGCCAAGCTAGGACTTCTTGCTATCATTTTATTTATTTATTTTTTTCAGGCAAAGCCGGTCGTGATTTGCTGGTAGGGGTGATAGGAGCAGCCTCCCGGTTGCTCCTGTCTATTGGTGGGGAGCTTCACCGCTGGAAATCGGGTCCAGCGTCCCAAAGTGTTACAGTACATCAGCAATACATGAGAATTTCCGGGGTCGCTACCCAGTTTCGGTTCAATGAACTGTTTCTAAGTCCATCTAGCACGGGGCCTAGGTCTCTTGCCCGGAGGTCTGTCTGAGCCCCTCCCCTAAGTGATCGTCCTGCAACCCACAGTCCCGGTGCAATATTACACCGGCCCCTGGACTACTCCCTGGTTGTCTGCATTCGGGGATTAGACGGTGCCCTCCCCGGTCCCACGGCCGGGTGGTGGCACCATCCGTCTACTTTTCCTTCTTAACCCCGGGCAGCCCTTGTCCCTGGTCCTTCTCAGTCCTGTCTACTTCTCCATCCATGGCTGATCACTGTCCACTGCTTGCCTCCCCACCTGCTGAGCGGGCCATGTATGGCAGATTCTGTCCTCCTGCAGTCTACCTGCTCGCTCATCCCCGAGCTGCGTGGACAGAAAGCCTTGGCGGATTTTGGGGGCCTTGTCTGGGTGTTGTGCCGACTGCAGCTTTGTCATGTTCCAGTCCAGCCGGTACTCCACTTCCAATAAACTCAAAAGCTGCTCCCATGCTTTCTGCACCGGCAGCTGCTTCCCCTGTAAGATCATACTGCACCTCCTCTTCCATACTGTCCATAGGATGAATGGCGAAGTCTCTGGAAGACTACAATCCGGTACGCCTCCTGCCCCAAGTCGACGCGAACTCCCAGTAGGGTTTGGACCACCCCGGCAGGAATAAGGATGCCAGTGAGTGTATACCAGAAGGAGGTCACCCTATCCCATATTTGCAGGGCTTCGGGGCATGACAGCAGACAGTGTTGCATAGGGTGCACTGGCTGGACTGCTCTGGTCTGCCCTGCCGAGTTCTGCACCTATTTAGCCAGTCAGCGACCGGGAGGGCAAGGTATGCGATCAGCCATTTTCCATGCTCCTGACATGTACATTCCGAATGGCATGCCTCACGTTGAGATCGATGTTCAGATGACTTGCCCATCTCGAGGCAATGATCTCAGGCAGGGCCGGTGTGTGGCTCATAAGTCTGTAGCCGAGTGTGGTGGTGTACTGTAGGAGGTTGTTGTGCTGTGCAGGGCCGCCCTGTCAGCGGCGCAGCTTCCAGGCCCACTCCAAGGGGTCTATTTCGAGGTCCTGTATGTGGACGGTGGGACTGTAGATAGTGTACTCCGTGTTCATCACCATCCTGACTTTGCGCAATTCACCCAGCTGTACAGGCACCTGTCCCTCGCTGTTCCTGCAGAGGGGGCTAGTTGATGCTCCTGGGGTGCAGATGCGGTGCATGCTGAAGAGGAGCCACTTGCCATCTGGCGATGCTTGGGCAAGGCCATGGCTGTTGTCGGGGTCTCTTCGCCCTTCATTGTGGCCCAGTCTCTGACCTCCCACTTGGCTGGTTGCTTCAACATGTCAGCCCACGCACCCCGACAGGATCAACGTCAGAATGTCATTATTGTTCGCCTGGAGGTTGTGAGTTCTGCGGAGCATTTTTCTTAGTTCAGCAGTTGTCTTCCCGCACTGTTGCTGTTTGTGCCAGATGTGCCTTATTTTCCAGACCCCTTTCTCTAACCATGTACCCCACCTTGAGTCCGATGCCATGAACATCCATGGTTTGTCTCGCAGGGCCACCATCCATTGGTTGCAGAACAGCGGCTGACGAAGTACCCCGTCCCTACATTGGGGCTGTCCTACTTCAGCAGGCAAAGTTTCCCTCCAGTTGCTGATGAAGTGTGCCCAGGGTGTGGCATTGCTGCCCTTGCCGGTCTTCGCCCAAGATTTCGCCATGAGCCAGAACTGCCTCTGCATGTTGCTGGGTGTGGTGTATCTCTGTAGCTGCCCGATCGGCTGCGTCCTGGAGGCCCCACGGCCATGCTTCAGGCCAAGGCGGACTCTCGTTTTCCAGCGTTCATTTATTTATTTATTTATTTGATTGCTGATTTTTGTCTGGTTCTATTTTTGTCTGTTGCAGGACGTAGGTTCGGACTTCAGCGTGTCCGGACAGACTTATGTCTGTTCGGACACGCTGACGTCCCGAACGACGGAAGGCCACGTTTTGGGCCTCCATTCGTGGCCAGGCCTTCTTAGGCTAGGTTCTGTTTTGTCCTGTACATTCCCTGCTGCATCAGCAGGGAGGGCCTGGATGTCCGGTAGGGACCCAGGCAGGCCGTTTTTAGGCCAGGCCCAGTAGCAGGACTTTTCCCTGCGAGCTGGACCATGGATCGGACCGACGATCTCATGGCCCAGATCGCAGGTCATGGGCACAGCACCCAGGCCCAGCACAACTTGTAGCTGACCCAGCTCCTGGGCACACACAAAGACACAGTTTGGGTAGCTGACTTCTTGGGCGACACGCTGCTGGAGCTGCACTATACAACGCTGCGTTAGAGGTAGAGGTGTAGGTAGGGAGACGGGCGGAGGCCATACCTGCAGCGACGGAGTACGTACCTGGGCGCCATAGGTGAGCTCCGCGCCAGCCACCTGCAGCACAGTGTCACGCCGGTGCTAGTATCTGGCGATAGATACATGCAGGTGAGACAGCGAGGAGGATGGCATCTTCTTCTTCTTCCTCCTGTTCTCGCCCTCCTCCTTCCTTCCTCCTTTTTTCTTCTTCTTCTTCTTCTTCTTCTTCTTCTTCTTCTTCTTCTTTCAGAGGGAGAAAAAGAGGGTACATGCAGAGGTTACATCGGGCTATGAGGCCCAGGATCTGATTCGACATTTTTGTGGCAGACATTGATTGGACATTCGGCAGGGAGACTATTTTCGGACTTGGCTATCGCGATCTTGGTCTTCTCCCTCATCTCCCTCTTCGCCTCGTCCCTCCTCCCACACTCCATCCATGGTATTTCCCTATGTTTGCGCGCAAGGAGGGACCGTTTCTTCCATGTGTGCGCTCCGTCCTCCCCTCTCACATGTGTGATGTGTGATGGCTGAGTCGTGTCAGTATCTGACAGGTCAGGTCATATCTTTGAGTCTTCCGCTGCGCTACATTGTGCTTTCGTATGTATCTGGATGTACATTGCTTGTTGATGCTTCGCTGATGCTGCACTGTCCGTTCGAGTACTTCTCATCACTTTGCGGATCCTTGGGCTCCATTTACATCGCTCGATTGAGCTTGTATTAGTTGGTATCGGAGCTGCGCTAGTGAAGTAGGACTACAATCTGACCTGACAGGCGATTAGGGAAATCGATCGATCGTTTGATTGATTTGCAAGGAAAATGAGCAATAGCAAAAATGACAAAAATCCAGAATGCAAAATCACATTGAAAGCCAGAAAGTCCAATGCTGTCCAGAAAGCAGAAATGCACTGATATTCCACCAACGGAGAACCAAAGCACCGAATCCGAGCCCTTCCTCCTACTTGGCGTTCAGCGCCCAGACTACAATCACACAGCTACTAGCAGCCTACGAATTGACAATGCCTCCTGTTGACATCAGCAGCAACAACCGAAGTACATGAAGATGTCAACCCTGTAGGCCA